GAGCGGCACGGGCGGCCCCGGCGGCTGGGGCATCAGGGGCGGCAGGAGCTCCGTCTCCTGGAGAGGGGACTTTGCCTCCCTCCCCGGCAGCTGCGGCTGAGCTTCTTTCCATCTCGGCTGCTTCTCCTTCAACTGGGGGTCTCTCTCCCTCTGCTCGCGCTCTCTTAACTGGGGCTCGGGAGACCTCGATGGGCGGGTCGTCAAGCGCGATTGGGGGGCTGTCCATGTTGATGGGAGCGTCGTCGACCCCAACGGGGGTGCTGCCAATCTTGAGCGGGGATCCGGAGATCTCCATCGGGGGGCTGTCGCCTGCGAAGTGTGGAGAAGGTCTGACAGCCTCTCGGGATGGGCTGCCGATGGCGTCTGGGACCCCGTGGGGGGGCTCGTTCGTGGCGGGAGCGAGAAGGACCGCACTCGGCACCGCGACTGCCGCGACCTGGCTGCCGCCACCGCCGTCGATTTGTAGGATAGCTCCGGGGAGCCCGGAGGCTGGGCCGTCTTCTCCAAAGGCTGCTCCATCAAATTCAAATGGCATAGCCTCCTCCGGGGGAGGGCTGCAGCCTCCTCTGAAGCCTGCCTTTGCAGGACTGGGGGCTCCGGGCTCCTCAGGAGGAGCGCTGAGGACCCCTGCTCCCGGACCTCCTGGAGTGAGGTCTGAGACCTGCAGGAGAGACTGGCTGCAATCTCCCCCGGCAGGCTGCTCAAACTCAAAGGGCATGGCTTCTTCTGGTGGAGGGCTGTAGCTTCCCAGGCCTGGCCTGGCCTCATGGAAGGATCCAGGCTCCACCAGTGCTGGGCTGAGGCCCTCGAGGTTTGCATGGGCCCCACTGGTGCCTCCAGGTTGCTCCAGGGCAGGCCAGAAGCCTCCCACGCTGGGCTGCTCGGCCTCGAAGGGCATGGCTTCCTCAGGAGGTGGGCTGTAACCTCCATGGGCTCCGGCTTCCTCCAGGGCTTGGCCGAGGCCCTGGAAGTTGGGCTTGGAGACCTCTGGGGGTCCACAGGCCTCGCCTTCGGTCTTGATGGGGATGGACTCGCTGTTAGGCGGTTCGGTCTCCATCTCTTCGGCTGCGCCAGGCCCAGCACTGGGGGCAGCTGCCCCTGAGGCCTCCAAAGATGGTTGCTCGGGCTGTTCCCCGAGTTCAAGGGGGATATTGCGTTGTCCTGACATATTATTGCCGTCGAGGCAGTTGCGCACGCCCATAACACGGTGGCGAACTCTTAAAATAAACTTGGGGCCCCGTAATACGGAGCACCCAACCAAACTAGGGTGAAAAAAATATCTTTAAAAAAAATCCAAGTACCAGCCAGAAAGTTCTCCGACCTCACTTGCCAACCCTCGTGAGGTCTAGGGGGTTCAGGGCCTCAAACCCTAGGCTGTAGCAGAAGCAACTCTATTGTTGCTGGTGGAGTGTTGGCTCCTTCCTGGCCACTTTTTATCCCCTCAGGCTGTCCCTAGCCCCCCCTCTTGGCCTGCCCTTGTCCCCTCCTCTCTCTCTTTTCTGTGCTCCAGGCCAGCCACTCTTGCTTGGATCTGGGGAGCGTGTCGATTCGGTCCGAAAATCGCTCGTAGTGCTCTCTCTCTGCCACCAGGGGACGCCGGCCCAGTGCCCGGGCGGCTCTGGGAGCCCCGGACTTTGAGTAAGGGGGCTGATGAGCGCAGGCCTCGCAGGGACGTTTTGGCTCCTTCCCCTCCTCTCCCTGACTGATTTGGAGTCTTCTCTCTTCTCCCCTGGCCAGAGAGCTCTCCTGCGTTGCGGACACGTGACGCAAGACGTGGGCCCTGGGCTGCTTGAACGCAGGAGCTGAAACCCTCCCTCCCAGACCCAAATGGGGGGGTGGGAAGGGGGAGGAGGGACTGCATGAGTGTTTCATAACCCCCAAATACCCTGAACCCCTGAGCCCCAGCCCCCAGCCCTGGGCAGCCTTGGATGCTGAGCCCCAAGTCCGGAGCGCAAGGCTTTAGTAGCATGAGAAGGGGGCGCCGGCGCGCGCGAGGATGCGACAGGTGGTCGTGAGCCCACTGGCGGAGAGGACAGGAGGCGAGGAGCGAGGTGTGCGCAAACAATTTGTTTTCAAAACGCCTTGGGGTACTTTGCAGCGCTTCTGCAGCTTCTGTTTGCCGGCTTGCGGAGGCTGGTCCCTGTGAAGCACTTCAGCGTCTCTCCCATCCCCACCACGCTCTGGGGGTCTTCGCAGTAGCTTAGGGTGGCGCAGGCTGGGTTCTCCCCGTTTACGTGGACGGCGATTCAGGGAATACGAGGGTCTTGGGAATGTATCACGGAGACCCTCGAAACAGTAGCTGCCGCGGCACGCAAAGGAGGGGCGGGGGCGGCCGCAGGATGCGCATAGGGACCCCACAGAGTGCAGGCCTCAGAGTTGTGGGGGTCCTACTGCTCTGGGGGAGGGTTAAAGGGGATTTCAGTTGGGATTCATGGCCAATTTAGGGTGGTCTCAGAGACTGGTCGAGCCTGTGCGCACTGAACCCAGAGATACACATCGTGCCGCGCCGTGCCGCGCCG